GAGGGCAGTGTGATGCAGCTCACCGGCCCTAAACCTGATTTTGTGTCAACAAACTCAGCTCATGCTCCACTGCTAAAGTAACAGTTGTATTTGCACCTTGAAGTCCAAACCAGATGACCTGTATCTCTCAACTCTGACCTGTGACCTGGGGTCACACGGGGAGGATTCTGGTATGTTTATCTAGTGGTTTCTTTGCCTCAGTGAAAAGGTTGAACAGAACTTGGTCCGATTTACTGGGGTTGGAGCAGACGACATGTTTGCCAAACGGTTCGTCTTGGCCAGTAATGTGGAGGGTGTTGCGGTCAGTTTACACACAGCTTGACCAGTGAAACTGCACCCCCTAGCCAGCCTCGCAACGCCAAGATGACCTTTGAGGTCCCAGTCAAGTCATTTGGTCAGGGATAACAATGTGGTCAAGAACTTGGCTCCGTCTTGACATGGACAAATATACTCCATGACGTCGCAACAAAGGACATGTTTGGCTGTAAGTACATAGCCGTAGTTCAAATGTAATGTGTTAGTCTAGTATTTACTGAAAAAAAACGGTCAAATCATGGCTTGTTAAACCATGAACGATAGCAAGGGAATTATATTGTGTGTCACTTGTAACAGATGTTTATGATGAATTCAACTCGTGAAATGTCTTTTAATGATGATGATGATGATGGACAGTGGTGATGATTACGATGATGATGTTGTTGTGATGTAGACAATGATGATGGTGGTTGTGGAGACAATGATGATGATGATGGTGATGATGATGATGATGATGGTGTGGTGGAGACAATGATGATGTGATGGAGATGATGATGGGGTGGAGACAATGATGATGTGATGGAGATGATGATGATGATGATGATGTGATGGAGACAATGATGATGATGGTGGTGGAGACAATGATGATGTGGTGATGATGATGATGATGATGATGATGATGGAGACAATGATGATGATGAAAGAAAGGGACTTACTATTACTGCTACTGTTTCTTATAAAATAACGTCATTAACGACGAGGTAAATGTCATGTTTCATATTGTTAAGCAAGCCTGATTTTGTTACCTCCTCATAAAGTAATTGTTCTGTCAAGTGGCAATGTCTCTAGCCTACCTAACACTGATCCGTATAACATTCCGATAAGAAGTATCGTAATGTAATTATTCTTATTTCAAAGGCTGGTCAAAAGGTCAACGCCATAGGTATAGCTTATAATTCAGTGTGTGTACTTACCTTATTAGCACACGCTGGATCGTGTACGTGCAAGGGCCTAGTCCTCTTAGCATAGATTAGTTTAGGCGAAGGGAATCAGGATTTAATGTTCGTTCAAGAATATTTCCATCATGTAATATACCGACGTGCATGCACACGTGTCTGCTGATGTTTGTACTAGTCAAAACCTCTGCCGGTTTAGTATCTTCAATCTACCAATCATTCCCCCTGACCTAGCAGGACACCTTCAGGCATGAGAGACAAGTCATACTATCAGACCTAGCAGTACATCTACAAACGTGAGTGAGGTGTCACGCTATCAGACCTAGCAGTACATCTACAAACATGAGTGAGGTGTCACGCTATCAGACCTAGCAGTACACCTACAAACGTGAGTGAGGTGTCACGCTATCAGACCTAGCAGTACACCTACAAACATGAGTGAGGTGTCACGCTATCAGACCTAGCAGTACATCTACAAACGTGTGTGAGGTGTCACGCTATCAGACCCGAGCAGTACACCTACAAACGTGAGTGAGGTGTCACGCTATCAGACCTAGCAGTACATCTACAAACGTGAGTGAGGTGTCACGCTATCAGACCTAGCAGTGCATCTACAAACGTGAGTGAGGTGTCACGCTATCAGACCTAGCAGTACATCTACAAACGTGAGTGAGGTGTCATGCTATCAGACCTGGCAGTACATCTACAAACATGAGTGAGGTGTCACGCTATCAGACCTAGCAGTGCATCTACAAACGTGAGTGAGGTGTCACGCTATCAGACCTAGCAGTACATCTACAAACGTGAGTGAGGTGTCACGCTATCAGACCCTAGCAGTACACCTACAAACGTGAGAGAGGTGTCACGCTATCAGACCTAGCAGTACATCTACAAACATGAGTGAGGTGTCACGCTATCAGACCTAGCAGTACATCTACAAACATGAGTGAGGTGTCACGCTATCAGACCTAGCAGTACATCTACAAACATGAGTGAGGTGTCACGCTATCAGACCTATCAGTACATCTACAAACGTGAGTGAGGTGTCACGCTATCAGACCTAGCAGTACATCTACAAACGTGAGTGAGGTGTCACGCTATCAGACCTAGCAGTACACCTACAAACGTGAGTGAGGTGTCATGTTATGAAACCCAGAAATACTCCTAAAAGCATGAGTGACATTTTATGCTGTCAGACTCAGAAGTGCACCTTCACGTATGACAATCAAATCGTGCTATCATACCCAGCAGTGCATCTACAAACATGAGTGCCTAGTCATGCTATCATACCCAGCAGTGCATCTACAAACATGAGTGCCTAGTCATGCTATCATACCCAACAGTGCAGCTACAAACATGAGTGCCTAGTCATGCTATCAGAGCCTGCAGTACGAGGATGTCTGATCCTGACCCCATCCGGACCTGTTGTAGCTGAAGTACGTTGCCTTGCGTCTTTATATGTGATGAACGTTATTGTTACTTGTCAATCAAATGTCAATCTATAGTAGCCTTTATCCCATATAACGAGACATGTACGACAACAGCCTGCATGGGTTTATTAGGATAAAGGCCGTGGACCCTTTGCCTTATCTTGTCACGCCGAAACCTCCGTCAACAATACATCGACCTCTCCATAGTTCGAGACAAGAAGTGTATTGACAATAATGAGAAAACTAGGTTATAACCAGGTTTTTAGAGATCACCGTCTTGAACAACACACCGTACTAAAGGCTTTGTTTGCTGTCCACAAAATGACGCCAGTCTGTAAATAATCGAGTCTGGATCAGACGATCCAGTGATTGACACTATGAGCACCGATCCAATGTTGTACAATCAGCCGGGCCCGGCCATCCGATCCAGTTCGTGGCCTCTTTAAGCATATACAGATGATGTTGATGGCCTACACTCCTACCTGAGATCCCGACGGGTTCGAGTCTCCACAGTAGTATTACGATGTAGGGGCGGTGGGGTAGCCTAGTGGTTAAAGCGTTGGCTCGTCACGCCGAAGACCCGGGTTCGAATCCCCACATGGGTACAATATGTGAAGCCCATTTCTGGTGTCCCCCGCCGTGATGTTGCTGGAATATTGCTAAAAGCGACGTAAAACCAAACTCAGTCAGTCAGTCAGTCAGTATTACGATGTATGGATTAAGTATACCCAGCGGTGTCCTGGTGGAGCACTTCGGTGTCTGGAACCTGCGTCATGAACGTGGCGAACACTTTAACTACTCTACCACCCACCCTCCTCCCTAGTGTGACACGTGATGTAGAGTGATCTTTTGCCTGCAACAGTTGTTTCACAGATTCGGGGCTTTTAGATTACGTTAATCCTCAACATTGAGTTTTGTTTTTGTGAGTGCATTTTTCTGTTTCTACTGTTTTACACACAGCACTCAGACCCGCTACCTGGTGCTGACATTGGTACAAAGGACCCGTGACCAGGGGTGGAAATAACCCATTGCCCGACGTCCGAGTCCAGTGTTTTGGGTTTTTTTTCGGGCAAGCAAATGTGTATATCATGCTGTACCGGTGTCCAGTTGACTTTCCAATGTTAATTATGCTGTTTATTTAAGAAATCAACAAGAAAATCGACCGGTATAGTGGAAAATGTTTACATGTGCTACTGTATCAGAGCACACTAGCAATTTTGAAGTTATTTCCACCCCTGCGTGACGATCCGGGTCAGAATTGGCCTTCAGCAACCTATGCTTGTCGTAAGAGGGAGTTGTCAGGCTCGCTGACTTGGTTGACACATGTCATCTTATCCCAATTGCGTAGATCGATGCTCATGCTGTTGATCACTGGACTGTCCCGATTATTTACAGACCGCTGCCATATAATTGGAATATTGCTGAATGCAGCATTCAACAGCAAACAATCCCGTCCATTGGTACAGAGATTGGACGGTATATCACCCACTGTTGAAATCAGCCCTCAGCTCTAAATATGAACGCTCAGGATGCCCACAATTGCCTTACTGCAGCATGAAACACCGCTCATGCGATTGCCACTTGAATGAAGTGATATAATGCACAGTGCGTTGTATGGAAGTGACAACTTGGTATTCGACGTCGTCAGTAAAAACAGTGCAAACAGAGAAATTATCATAACTGAATAATGTTCACGAGAAAACCACCACTCCCTGACGATAACAAAGCTTTGAGTATCACAACTATTAAATATTCGTATGATTGTGTAAAACGCCCTTGAACCTCCTATTCAGGTATTCTTCAGGTATATGCTCATGAGAATAACAACCTTTTCGCAATAATTCCTAGAAATATGCACATTAATTATCAGCTTACATAAGCATATATATATTGAATTGAAATGTCTTTAGATAGGCCTGCTTCCGACATTAACGCGACATCGCAGACGTAAAAAACTGACATACTTCTATTGAAGACTGAAATGTCAACGAGTAAATGAAAAAACATCAAATTTTAAAGATTTAAACAGGAGTGGTTTGTCCTGTGGCTGTTGTGTGGAACCCGAAATGACATTTAGAATCGACCACCATTACATACATAATTGAGCCGACGGCTGAATTAAAGCGTGTAGTGTTGCAGCGGTTTTAAACATTCATGTTCTGCATTTAACTCTTGCTTTTGAAACGAGAGGGTTATTGTTACCTGAATGAAAGGAGAGCATCTCAAGCGACGTAACATTTGTACAGCGTATCTACGTTTAGGGCTATTATATTGATGAATACAATGATAAATCTGTTTGAAGGGATAATTCTAAGCTCTTGTCGCCACAGTGTCCGCATTTCTGTTTCAAGCCACGATTCAGATGTTGTATTCAGACGGTCAGGCGGTGTATCGTCTGCTCGTTTCCTAGCAACCGTGTATGACAATATTGACGGATGATACGACGAAAACTAAGCCATCCGCGACTCGGCTTAACAAATTGACATGCCTTACATGTTCGGTTGAGAGCTGGCTTAAAAGGTGATACAAAGTTGATCCTGATGGGGAACCTTTGAAACACGCCAGAGACTACCTCATTGTTCCGATGTACCATTCATCAGGAGGAGCTGCTTCTGGGTGCTTGTTGCTTCAGATGTTGGCATTACCCACCTGGCTTTCAGGAACTAGCTAATTAGTACCTGCTGGATATTTGGAATGGTTGAAAGTATTATACAACCCAGGAAACAAGGACAATCTGCAGACTATCAACATGGCGTGGTTTCTGATGTTGTGTCGGAGGACATGGTAGTCTGAGCTCTGAAAGGGTCCTTATTCAAATTAGTGCTCTTGCTGATGGTGCTATGTACGGTGATGACTTTTGGGAGTGTGGATATTCATGTGTGTGTCAAAAACAATGACCGGGGTTATCAGTTTTAGCGTGGAGTAAATCCCATGGTTTCTCGAGCTTTGATTAATAGGTCTGTGGTATATAGGATTATACTTGCTGACGGAGGAATTTCTGTACGGATCGGCAAGGCCGGACTCTCAGTTTATGATACCCTGGGATCTCATTCATCTGACAAAAACTCTCGAAGCTACAAGTGGCAGTTTAATTGGATCTGTAAAGAACAGGATTTGTGTCAATCAGACCTGAAATCTCCTACAATCCGAAGAGTTGTTGAACTGTCGTACAACTGAACTTGAAATTGGTCTGGAGAAATCTACATCTCTAAGTGTTCAGTGTAACGCTAGGTGGGCCTTCTCTCGGGAACAGCGACCTACTTCATCGCATCACACTTCGCAGCAACTTAACTCTGATACCGAAATATTTGTGTCGACCAAATATTTGTCGCTTCACCTGAAGGACAACCTAGTTCCGAAGCCTGGGAAATACATTGATTTTCTGCGGTGATTTACCGGCTACTGAGAACACATCGGCTACGTTCGTACACCTGTAATCAGAACCTTCCTCACCTGCAGACGGACTGAAACAATGGAGGTAATATCGATTAGTTCAGTACAATGAGCAGGGAATCCTAACCGATTTAATGTGATAACATGGTCGGTTTCAAAACAGACTTGAGTGGGATTACGTTCTCGGCTCTGTTTTCGTCCTTCGTCTAGACGTGTATAATTAACAACCTATTTCAAACTGAGACATAATCTGCATGAAATAAGGGTAACCATCAAATATCAGATCAATATTCATTGAAGGTCTTAACTTGTGGGTTTGTGGACCTCTAATGTAGGCTTAGAATCATTGAAAGGAAATTTGCGAAGGCGTTGAAATTAGCCCAGTATGTCGCGATTCGACACATAAAATTCCCCTGTTCGATTCCCCACATGGGTACAATTGTGAAGCCAAACATTTGTTGGAATGTTGGTAAAGCAGTGTACATCACAACTCAATAACAATGATGAAGCTACATTTTGAAGTTTTGAATGTTACAGAGTTGCGTAGGGGTTAATACCAGTTTCTCGCATCATTACATATAGGTGAGGCGGTCTCATTACATATAAATGAAACTGTGTCCGAGATAAGTAACGTTCTATACTTTCCATTAATCTGTTTGAGTGTGTTAAGACATCAAATATAAGTTGAGATAGTTTAAAGCACTGAGGTGGAAAATACATACCGGATGTAATTTTGGTATGTAGTTAAACAGCTGACAGTTTTCTTATGAAGTTCAGACCAATTCTGTTACAGCTTTCTCTGTGTAACGTGTGATACTCATTGTTCTGGGTATTCGTAATCGAGGGTGTCTGAAGTCCGTCTGGCAAAGTGTTGCTCCGTCATATCGAAGTTGCCGTACCTTCAGTTAATGGATTTAAAGACAGTCTGCAACTGTGTACGTTACACGCTAACGGACCCTTGTGGTTTTCGTCTCCGACTGTAGTGTTGCTTCAACCCAGCTGAAAAACTTAATTCTCTCAACAAACGTAGAACAGTAAAGATGAAATTAGGTTTTTCATCATTAACGAAATATATTACTTGTTGAAGTTCACGTTCTGCTAATGCGGTGTTAAGAACAAAATAAATATTTTAAATACACGTGTTAGTATTTGGTTACCGGATTGAAATGGTTGTAACACTTATACACAAACGCTTTAAGCACATTTTATGGATTAGTTTACATACTTATGTGACTGTACTTATCTACACAAAATGGCTTGGATTACAAACATGACAAAGTCGAATAATGCTACCGACTTTCCACGCGGGTATTATTTAGTGTTTTCCCCTGTTATTCTATGTATAGATTAACGTGGTAAAGGTCGTGATATGTATCGTGTATATCGTTACTTATAACACGTTAGCATATACATAACTGTATTAACAGGAAACTTAGGTACACCGCCTGAAGCAGACCATTTCCATTTCAAGTGCTTGTAGAGACGGTGGGTGAGTTGTGATATGCTTGATGGTATAGATTCTTGGATGAGGCTTAAATGGGTGAGTTTTACATGCTTGGTATAGATTCTTCGATGAGGCTATAACCATGTACCTCTTTTTTCGGAAGAGGAACCGAACGCAGAGTCCTTGGGTGATAGAAAACAAGAAGTAACTCTTATGTCTTTAACATAGTTTCAGTATTATATTTAGAATGAAGAGGTTTCTGAATTCACACATAACGAAGGTCACGAATTTTCTATGTGGGTTTATGTTACCTTTGAATAAATATTAGAGGACCCTATGAAATTGGATATGAATTGGAAAATCGATTTTCGTATATTCACTGAAGTTAACAAGTCGCGAGCTTAGTTTCATGACACATTTTCATGGCATGATAAAATGTATATTCCATGAATATTTCAGATCCTTGGTATATACTGTTCTAACTTGACATTCTAGATATGAATAATACACACATATTGAGTATAGTCCTTACGACCTATATCTTGTGTATTATACTTTCTGGGGGCTGGGGGTAGCCTAGTGGTTAAAGCGTTCGCTCGTCGCGCCGAAGACACGAGTTCAATTCCCCACATGGGTACAATGTGTGAAGGCCGTTCCCGGTGTCCCCCGCCCTGATATTACTGGGATATTGCTAAAAGCGGCGTAAAACCATACTCACTCACTCACTCACTCGCTATACTTTCTTCTCCCCTGATGAGAATGAGGACAATGCTGATAATAATAATTATAGTGTTTGTCAGTTTGCATGGGATGGTGCAGAGACCATATACCGGTATATGGTCTCTGGATGGTGTTAACATCGGATTTAACGATCTTGAACACCTTTAATAATCAGTTCGTCATATCCAAGACTTCGACCTGTATAGACACACAGATTTGTAGTAGGTAAATTGAGATTAATTTGAATGACCGGGGCATGGCGCACGGATGTAAAGCTGTCACAGCTACAATCAAACCGTCATTCAGCTGTCAACACAAATGTTGTCGATTCCACTTGCAGCATTCATGCGCCAAGAGAAACGGGGTCAACTGCACACATGTGGGTTAAGGTGAAATTGACACTGTATCCAGGATATGTCTAACAAGGCGTGATGCAATGAACACGATAGCTGCTTCTGTACCTAACAACGCATGACAGCTTGTCAATGTCACTATCTTTTCGTATCCATGTTCCGAAATGATAAGATAATATATGGGGCCCGGTGGATGTGTAGCTACCGATGATTATGTAGCGGTGACCTACGGTCATACGGGTTATGTAATTCACGTTAGCTATATCTTGTTACAACACGATAGCGATTACTATGGTATAACAGTGTATATATCACTGTTTAACAGCTGAGCAAGAGTGCGAGAAACAGGCTATCGGTGTTGACTTCGGAACTAAAGGTCAACCCTTTTCCGACAATTAATAATATTCCATGTTAAATAAAATGTCCAAAACATATCCACAGCAAATTTTCGATCCGTTAAAAATATTTGTCAGTTCAGCACAAAATGATTGACGTTGTCCTTGACCTTGCATATAACACAGAAGGGAATACATTGGCGGGTATTTCTATTCATCTCATGCTTCAACAGACTCTTTTATAACGCTGTATATTTCAAAGGCAACCATCCGCCCTTAGGAATTCAATATATTTAGTTAGAATTAAGGTGGTATTTGTGAAAAAAAGACAATAATTTCCAAATCCATGAGAAATATCTTCTAAGAGCAGATTTCTTCGAAGATTCCGACTACGTCGTAACTATGCGTTTATGGATCACTGTTAAACAGAGGCGACATTTTCAACACAATCGTTTGAAAAGGATGACGGTATCCTACCCCTACCAGGTGCATCTGTCACAAACACACGCAAATACAAGTCAACTGTTCACCTAAAAAATAAAAGACCAAAACAAAACCGTAAAAGGAATCGTTGCATTTTCCCTCCCTAGTGAGTCATGATGATGAAGTCCTATTATGTCTAATAAGTTCCCTAGATGACTTGCACTTCGATATTTAATCCAAGTATTTTGTTCGATAATTCACATTATTTTCAAAATTACGACAATCTTCACATTTGTCCTGTAGCTTTAGTTTAGGAGTTTTTATGTTTTCTAATTAACTTTCAAACCTTTGATGTACTGAAACCTTTCAATCCAAATTAAATCACACACGCCGGTTTTTATACTGTTGCTCGCTGCATTGCATTGATGTGATTTTGGTAAGAAAATTAGTATCCTGTCGAGATTGAAATTTCACAGCAGCATTAAACAGCTGGTCCCTTAAACATGATATGTCGATCTCGCACAGGAAAACACACGAAGCGGAGATTGGATTACTCTGCATGAGCCAAACTCGTCACGATGGACCCTTTAATTAAACTTAGGGCATGATTTTGTATTTATTAGCCTCATTGTAACAGGTATTTCAATTTCAAAATGGCGGTTGATGCTAGTCGGAAAATATCCAATTAATGGATATTGTGTCTAAGAAATTCGTCTTAAACTCGCATCTATTTAACTCGATAGAGACTAACAGGACTAACATTTAGTCTCGGAAATGAACATATTTACAGAAAACGACTGTTCCTAATTTATCGTCATTGATTATAAGAAAAAGGAGATTCAGGGCCTAGATTTTCGAAGCTCTCTTAGCAGTAAGATAGTCGTAAGTGCCATACATTAACATTAACTTACGACTATCTTAGCGCTAAGAGAGCTTCGAAAATCTAGGCCCAGGCTTTCTTCATTTTCAGCATGAAACTGCGTAATCTAGGTTCAGTTCAGTGATCAATATTATGAGCACTAATCCACGACGTTTTGGTACAAATTAAGGCTCTACCAAGCCACTTGCCCTGACAATCGTGTCCACATGTTTACAGCCATAGGTTACTGATGACCGATTCGAACCCGGAATCTGCGAGAGGTACTTGTCAGGCTCACTCCTTGTAAAAGAGACTTGTTGAATCTCTCCTATAAAAGTGTATTTATCCCTTTGTGGTGGATGGCATTCTCTTCCCACAGAGGTAATTTAAGTCATATCTGCCCATGTTACGTGGACAGAAGGGACTTGAGTAACCTCCGTGGGGAGAGAATGGGTGGGTGGTTGAATGTTGATTAACGTCTTTGTCAATATTGCTGCTTTATTTCGGCGAAATATAATGGTCGACGCTGGACCAGACAAACCATGAGTACATTAGTAAACGTGTCCAACATACAACCAACAGCTTGTAGTATGACTGAATTGTTGTTCAGTGGTGAACTGACTCGCAGTTGCATAACTGAATTGTTGATCAATGGTAAGCTGACTCGCAGTAGTATAACTGAAATGTTGTTCAATGGTAAGCTGACTCGCAGTGGTATAACTGAGGGGTTGTTCAGTGCTAAGGTGACTCGCAGTGGTTTAACTGAATTGTTGTTCAGTGCTAAGCTGACTCGCAGTGGTATAACTGAATTGTTGTTCAGTGCTAAGCTGACTCGCAGTGATATAACTGAATTGTTGTTCAATGGGAAGCTGACACGCATTGGTATAACTGAATTGTTGTTCAATGTTAAGCTGACTCGCAGTGGTATAACTGAGGTGTTGTTCAGTACAG